ATTTAATGGAGTTTGGGAGGTCCCAAATTTCGTTTAAACACAAAATCTCACCGCATATTTGATAAAAGAATTCTTAGATTTGTTTCTGATAGCTTCTCCGATTAGTTTCTTCAGATGGAAATCGGTAGAAGTCTTCTCTGAAGTAGATTTTTTATCTAACTACAACAACCTAATTCAGGTTTTCCAACTGACATTGAAGAACGCCAAAAAGTCCATTGGATATATCCTTCATGTCTGCACCATATTCAAGAAGGCAAACAAGATCAAATGTGAAAATTTCCGTGGAATTTCAGTAGCAAGTTCGATGACGCAAATGTCCTCGAAAAATCTCGAGGAAAACATCTTAGAACGTTTTAACCGAAATATCTATGTATGTATCCTATAAGATCGCTGGTTTTGTCACAAATTTAAATTTTACCCTTCAATTAATGCTAAATAAAATACATAATGATGTATGTTAAGTATACCAAAATGATAATAAGCTGAAAAACTTGTCTAAAGTCCATAGTAACTTTTCATTGTTTAACAGTTTTGTACCTTACATACATAAGTTATCAGACTCTAGGTCAAGAGCAATAAAATAAACATTATAGATGGTGAAAAGCTTGACAATACACATAGTGATCTGTCCATTATTATTGCTTCAAGCATACAATTTATTTGCAAAGTATTAGTTTTAATTGGCAATATCAAATGCAATGTTTGATTTTTCAAGGTAGATGTCAAGTTTAAGTACTTTGCTTTGTTTATCTTAATTTATGTACTTGTGTACTACCATATAAATGTTCAAATGAATATTCTTAATTATGAATTTTTGAGCATTTCAGTTGAATTTTTAAACCTTTATGGTGGAGGTATAGATACCTACTACCCATTTTACGTGACTCAGAAATTTATAGATAGGTACCTAATGATTGAAAAAACCGTCGAAAATCCCGAACCAAATCCGGCTTAATGTTTAAGATAGAACTACTACTGTTTCTTAACATTTGTGTTTTTTTTTTAAATTAAAAATGCATCATGATTTCTTTCTATACCTTCTGATTTGGGTTTGGACTAAAAACGTACAAAGTGTACATTGTTACTAGTTTGGTAAAGCAACATTACTAATTCCTGTTAAAAGGCAAATTGACAAAAAGTGGATAATCTTACAAATTCTTACTTTAAATAATAAGTTATTGTTCAAATACAGGGTGTTTTTTTATATATTGACACCCCACCTACAGCCTTTACCTTTACAGGTAGAGATGAAAAGTTGTACAGTATTGGCTAAATTTTTAGAATCCATGGTCAGAAACAAAAGTTGAATGTCAGAAATTTGAAATATTGCATGCTTTTAACTTTTTTCAAATGAGATGCCCTATATTTCGTTTTATATTCTTGAAGCACATTTTCCCGATTCCAATCAAATATAGATCGGGGCATTGTGCTCTTCAAGAATATAAAATGAAATATAGGGCATCCCATTTGGAAAAAAACTGGATGTATGCAAAATTTCACATTTCTGACATTCAAATTTTGTTTCTGACCATGGTTTCCAAAAATTTAGCCAAAACTGTACAACTTTTGTATTTACACCTTTTTTCTACCTGTAAAGGTAAAGGCTGTAGGCAGGGGTCAATATATAAAAACACCCTGTACAAATAAGTGGATTATTGCTGAACTTATGGGTGGACCTCTGCGGGACGAGCACAGCGAGTTCCGCAGCCGTCTACTCACCAATATACTGTTGAACTGTTCAAATAAGACACTCACCTGAAACGTGTAGTTTTTGAACTAATGAGAAAAGTTCAAAACTGAGTAAATTAGGTTAGTATCGTACTTCAACAACATTTTGGTGAATAGATGGCTGGGCCCACCCATAAGTGCCGCAACAATCCACTCGTTTGTACTTGAGTAACTTGTCACAATATATTAGTAGTTTTGGTAAAGTAACATTACTAATTCCTGTTGAAAGACGAATTGATGAAAAGTTTATAATTTTATAAATTCTGACTTTATATAATAAGCTATTTTTCAAGTAGGTACAAATAAGTGGATTGTTACGGAACTTATGGGTGGATCTCTGCGGGACGAGCGCAGCGAGTTACGCATCCATCTACTCACCAATATACTGTTGAACTGTTCAAGTAAGACATTCACCTGAAACGTGTATATTTTAAACTAATGAGCATAACTCACATTTGAGTGTCAGGTTAGTTTCGTAGGCAATTAAACAACATATTGATGAGTAGATGGCTGCGGAACTCGCTACGCTCGTCCCGCAGAGGTCCACCCATAAGTTCTGCAACAAATCACTCATTTGTACTTGAATAACTTGTCACATTGTTACTAGTTTGGTAAAGCAACATTACTAATTCCTGTTAAAAGGCAAATTGACAAAAAGTGGATAATCTTACAAATTCTGACTTTATATAATAAGTTATTGTTCAAATACAGGGTGTTTTTTTTATATATTGATACCCCACTTACAGCCTTCACCTTTACAAGTAGATGAAAGGTGTAAATACAAAAGTTGTATGTACAGTATTGGCTAAATTTTTAGAATCCATGGTCAGAAACAAAAATTGAATGTTAGAAATGTGCCATATTGCATGCTTTTAGCTTTTTTCAAATCGGATGCCCTATATTTAGTTCTATATTCTTGAAGAGCACAATTTCTCGATTCCAAAACTATATAGTTTGTCTATATTTGGTTGAGCCGTCTCCAACCTACAGCCTTTACCTTTACAGGTAGAAGAAAGGTGTGAATACAAAACTTGTAAGTTTTGGTTGAATTTTTAGAAACCATGGTCAGGAACAAAATTTGAATGTCAGAAATGTGAAATTTTGCATGCTTGAAAATAACCAAATGACTATCAAAGAAACCAAGTACCTACCTCAAACTTTACCTGCAGTTTTCACCTGTACAGGTAGAATGGTTTCACCTGTACAGGTAGAATGGTTCACAAAATCCGTAGTAGGATAGTATTTTTACAATTTTTGAAGCCGAATATATGAGAGACTATTCAATCAAATATAGACAAACTCTATATTTTTGGAATCGGGGCATTGTGGCCATTGTGATCTTCAAGAATATAGAATGAAATATAGGGCATCCCATTTTTGAAAAAAGCTGGAAGCATGCAAAATTTCACATTTCTGACATTCAAATTTTGTTCCTGACCATGGTTTCTAAAAATTCAACCAAAACTTACAAGTTTTGTATTCACACCTTTCTTCTACCTGTAAAGGTAAAGGCTGTAGGTGGGGTGTCAATATACACAGTGTGTAAAAAGTCCCGGAACAGTCAATTATTTCGAAACTGGTGCACAATATAAAAAAACTTCCTGTATAAAAGTTGAAGGTCCTAATAAAATCTATTGAAATAGGACTTTTGTAATTATACAGGGTGGCCCAAAAAGTTGTGCTACACAAAACTTCATTTTTTTCAATGAAGTGATCCTTTTTTAATTACATTTTCTAATTCCTCTAGAGATTCTTAACAACAATTATGAAACATGTCATATGGCTAAACCCATTAGTTTCAGAAATAATTTGAGTTGAAGGACATAAATACGATAAGTACGATATTACCTACATTTTGCTTTGTTTCGAGTTGCTTCAAAATGTTTCACGTTAAATCCTGAAAAAACAAACATTTAACTTGTGTTAAATGAAATGTACCTCACTCAAGTTTAGTCAAAATTTTATTAATAACTAAATTATTAAATACAAGCAGTAAAGTAAAATCAACAATAACTTTGAAAGAACAGAAATAAAATTAAGTGTAAGACGTTATTTTATTAAATGCTAAAAATGTCCTCCTCCCACAATTTGACAATGGGCTAGGTTATAATAAAATTTATTGATGACGTTTTGTAATATTTCTTAGTTAATAGATGCACATTCTTCAATAATTCTTCTTCTCAATTCGTTCAGATCTGGAGGTTTTGTCACAAACACTTTATTTTTCAGATGTCCCCAAAGAAAATAATCAAGGGGCGTTAGGTCTGGTTACCATTTTGAACCAACTCGAAACAATGCAAAATGTAGGTAATATCGTACTTATCGTATTTATGCCCTTCAAGTCAAATTATTTCTGAAACCAATGGGTTTAGCCATATGATATCTTTCATAATTGTTGTTTAGAATCTCTAGAAGAATTAGAAAATGTAATTAAAAAAGGATCATTCCATTAAAAAAAAAATGAAGTTTTGTGTAGCACAACTTTTTGGGCCACCCTGTATAATTACAAAAGTCCTAGTTCAATAGATTTTATTAAGACCTTCAACTTTTATACAGGAAGTTTTTTTATATTGTGCACCAGTTTCGAAATAATTGACTGTTCCGGGACTTTTTACACACTGTGTATAAAAAAACACGCTGTACCTACCTATAGTTTCAAAAAATTGATAATTCACTTGAAATGAATTCATGAATCATGGAAGGTAATTTTTAAAGGTATTGAGAGACATTATAACTCACACACACTGGTGATTAGATGATTATTTATATCATATACTAGTCTATTCTACGATCTATAACTTTTAGATTGGGTAATAAGAAAAGTTTTTTGTGAATTTGAATATTTGCTGCTAACAAAAAAAAAAAGCAAACACACATCTTTTATATGCAACGCAATGCATAGCTATAATAAAAACCAATAAGTGCAAGCCATTTAAAAAAAAATTGACACAAATACGAGTTAAATTGATGGTTAATAAATATTGATGACTTCGCTGTGCGTAACATAATTATTATTAAAAGCTAAGTACATACAATTTCCGGCACTGTTCATAAATTACCAATAATTTGTAGCATAAAAATTACTTTCATTAAATAAAATTTCCTAAAACAATAACCAAGCGAAATAATGAGTCATTTGACAATCAATAAAAATTAGTTTCGAGTTGTAAATGGTAATTAATTTTTTTTTGTCCTTGAAACGTGCAGTTTTTGTATTTATTACCAATATATTTATTTAATAAAACAATACAAAGAAAAGTTTTTCTTTACAGTGCGATAATAATATGGAAATTTACGAGCAACAAGGCCAAGACATCACAGCTTCAGATATGATCCAACCAGAAGAAGATAGCGAAATAAAGAAATTTTACAAAGGCTCTTGCATATTTATAACTGGAGCTACAGGATTTTTGGGAAAACTTGCCGTGGAAAAGTTGCTCAGGACATGTCCGGACTTAAAGAAAATAGTCATACTTATAAGAGCAAAAAAGGGCAAAGATCCTAAACAACGATTCGAGGACATTTTTAATGAACCAGTAAGAATAATAAATAATTGATTTTCAAATTTCAACTAATAATTGTTTTTAGACGTTTGATTTTCTGAAACGCAACGACCCAAACTTCAGAGAGAAAGTTTCAACAGTCATTGGTGACGTTAGTTTACCGGATTTGGGACTAAATGAAGTGGACAAAGATTTATTGATTCAAGAAGTTGATTGTGTAATGCATTTTGCCGCTACAGTCAGGTTTGATGAAAAATTGAGGTTGGCAACGTACATTAATGTCAGAGGAGTTCGAGACATTATTTCGTTGGCTAAAAATATGAAAAAATTAAGGGTAAGTATTATGTAAAACATTAAATGAAATTGCAAAATTTGATTGATAAATTATGCGAATGACGCTTATTTCATTTACAATAAACGCAATTTGTTTACCTATATGGAATTTGATCGTTTATGAAAACCAGTAAGGAATTTATAGATCTTTTTTAAAACTCGTGTGTTGGAAAGTTCACAGGCAATTTGTACTGTATAATTTCCCAATATTTCATCAATAAATCTATTGCGATTGGTTCCATATAACAAATATTTATTCAATTGAAACACACTCTTTGGATATCTGGTATTCCAGAACTTTTAAAACAAATTAAGGATGCGGTTAAAATATAATGTCCCTCGTAATTTCTATAGGAATTGCGGTACATATTTTTTTTTTTTGTTTGTTAATAATTCTGTAATAAGTGACACCATTAGAATGGATCTGTTGTTTTGAAAGCTAGTAACTGCAGTAAGCAAATTGTCTACATGTTGGTTATTTTCTTTATAACCACTAAATTATGTATTAATAAGTACAATAAATAATAAATACATTCATTGTTTTTGTCTATATGAGAAACACAAACTTGATAGTTATCGATAAAACAGAAGAATATTGAACTTTTCGCATAGGACCTCTATCGCTATAACTGGATCAACTAACTGCTTTTACAGCATTTCGATCCTCCTGAATTTTCTCGAAAATTCTTTTCTCCTCGCGAAACAATTCGCGATCTTTCCTTATAATTGGCTGGATTATTGTGTGAACATTAAATTTTTTTCTCGGAAAGTCTGCTCCACCCCACCCGACTTGCTATATCTCTCTTATATTAGTCTCTAAAGGGGATTGAGATATGAGAGACCCAACTTAGATTGTACAGAGTGGGCCAATTTGGACATTTTTAATAAGAAACTTCAATTTCTGGGCAAGATACACAAAAATGAACCCCCCACTCTGAGATTTTAAACATAATTTGCAGAATTAATAAAGCAATAAATGAAATTCATCTTTTTATTTTAGGCCTTTTTGCATGTATCGACTGCCTTTTCAAATTGCAACCATAAAGAAATAGATGAGAGATTTTACGAACCTCCTATAACAGGAGACAAGCTAATGAATCTGGTAGAATGTTTAGACGACGATCAATTAGACCAAATAACCAAAACGTAAATTACTGCGAAGCTTTTTTTACAAATATAAAACAGGTTTGTTTCGTTTACTTTTTTAGAATACTCAAAGACTTTCCAAATACGTACGCCTTTACCAAATGTGTGGCCGAAGACGTGGTGAAAAATGAAGGCAAAAATTTACCAATTGCTTTGGTTAGACCATCAATAGGTGAGTAATCACAAAAAAAAATATCGCAGAAATCATACGTCAACAATATAATTTTATAGTTATTGCCACAGTTAAAGAACCAGTAGCTGGTTGGATAGATAACGTATATGGTGCTACGGGAGTATTACTAGGCGCAGCGGTAGGACTTTTACGAACTCTCTATGGGAACAAAAAAAATAACGCTGAAATGGTACCTGCTGACTATGTAATTAACAGCTGTTTAGCTGCTATGTGGGATGTAGCGACAATTAGGTAAAAACTTTACACATACATTTGCCATACTATATAATCTTTTATTGCAGGACCTTGAATGATAACAAAGAAATTCAAGACGAAGAAAGCAGAGAAGAAAAATTCGATAAAGAGATTCCAGTTTATAATTACGTCAGTACCCCACAAAATCCAATGACATGGGGTATGATGAGTTTTGAACAGTTTCAAAAAATTAATTTAATTTATTATTATTCTAGATGATTTTGAACAATTATCATCGAAACATTGCAAACAAATCCCATCTGAAAAAGTAATCTGGCATTGTATGTTCAAAATGAGATCGAATTATTACGAACACATGATTGCATTGTTCTTTTTGCATACTGTTCCAGCGCACATTGTGGATTTCGTGTTATTATGTTTAAGAAAAAAGCCGATGTAAGTAGAAAATTTCCGAAAAACTGCTTTATAACTTGATTTATTTTAAAGGCTTGTCAAAGGTTATCAAAAAATCAACAAATTTGCCGACGTCTTGGCTTTCTTCACATGGAACCAATGGAAATTCAATAATAACAATATACAATCTTTATGGAAACGAATGAAGAAACACGACCAAGAACTTTTTGAGTTTGATATCACAAGACTGAACTGGGATCTTTATTTTTACACATACTGTAGAGGTAATTGTTTATTTTAATTTTTTGTATACAATTTCTTCAATCATTTGTTCATAATATGTTACAGGTGCAAGAGTTTACTTGCTCAAGGATCCTCTAGAAACAATTCCTCAAGGCACCATAAAATACTACAAATTAATGTTTCTCCATTACACAATACTGACAGTGCTGGGATTGTTCTTATTGAAATTTGTCGCTGGACTTTTTAGTTTATCATTTAGTGCTGTCTTTTAGAGGGTATTTATTAGTTTCAATTTCAAATAGAAGAGCATTTTTGGAACTGCAATATTATTTGAGATAAATACAAATCTGTGTGTTTGAAAAATTGGTTTTATGTGAAATAACGTACTTAGGTCATGATAATTGTGTTATTTTTGTCTAGATTTTTAGAGTTGTTCATACAAAACTTAAATGGGTTGCCAGTAGTTATAATAAATAGGTTACATGTTCTATGTAATTGGATGTACATTTGTTTGATGAATAAATAATATGTATTAATTTATTTTGTTAGATAAATTATTTCTATAAGTAAATACTTTTTGTAGAATCAAGTTGCTTTCCCGTTGAATATCAACAATCTTGGATTTAGAGACGACTGAATTTCTTTTCCTCCTAATAAGTGTCCTGATGGAGTCAGTTGTTGCTAAATCATTTCCATCATTTGATAAAGGACAATGTACAAATTCGTTCCAAGTGGAATTTCTTTGCATTCAAAATGGTGCCTCAAGCTGGTGGAATAAAGTGCCAACGAGTTCAGGCTAGAATTTTTTGGATAATCTTGTAAACTTTATCATAAAGTATATATATATAATTATCGGTTTATAACGTTCTACGTCTTCCGATTCTCGATCTCCAACCATCTCTGTCAATCCAGGAATCCTCTTCTAAGCCTCTGTCTTTCATTTTCTCGTCTACTCCGCTTCTCCAGCTTCTTCTTGGTCTGCCGCGTCTTCTTCTTCCCCCTGGCTTCCACTCAATTATTTGCTTGGGTATTCTTGTATCTGCCATTCTTTGTACATGTCCGAACCAAATCAGTTGTTTGTCCTTTATATCATCTATTATTGTGTGTTTTACGTCCATAATCTCCCTAATTCTCAGATTTGTTATCCTTCCCATTTTTGACCTGCTCTCCGATCTCCTCCAAAAGTCCATTTCAGTTGCTTCTAGCATTTTTGTGGTTCTGATCTTTAGTGGCCAGACTTCTGAACTATACGTGACTATGCTTTTGACTATGGTGTTGTATATTCTCGTTTTGCTAGTTTTGTTGATATTCTGACCCCACAGTACACCATTCAGTAGAGATATTGCCTTGCGTCCTTGTATATTCCGATCTTTAATTGCTTCGTCTAGGGTTCCCTCATGTGAGATTTTCATGCCCAAATATTTGTATTCAGTACATTGTTTTATTTCTTGTCCGTTATTCAATTTCAGATTTCGTTGTTCACCTCCTATAGTCATATATTCTGTTTTCGTTAGATTTACTTCCAAACCATATTTCTCGTACTCCTCTATCAATTTTCGTGTCATGTACTCTAGGTCATCATAGTCCTGTGCAATTAATACTTGATCATCTGCAAAGCTTAAAGTATATTGTATTCATTGAGCAGTATTCCCATGTGTCTACATTTGTTTTCCCACCCGTTGAGCCCTTGTTCTAAGTATATTTTAAAAAGTGTTGGTAATATGCAGCATCCCTGTTTAAGTCCTTTAGTTGCTATAAAGCCTTTACTGATTAAGTTTCCGTTTTCGTAAAGTACCTAGGTATCTTTATCTTACTAATCCTACAAAGTTTATGTCATGAATTATCTCCTAAAGCATTTTCAGCTGATTTTAGATTTATGATTTTTCACAAATAAATTCCGAAAGTCAGTATTTGCATCCGCACAATCCACACAATTAACCATCTCCAAATCTTCAGTGTCTGTTATTGTCTTCCTGATGTTTGGCAGACTGTACTTCAGGTCAGCTTTGTATGCGTCCTAGTGTGTATTTCGAGGGTTTCGATAATTTACTGAAGTTGTTTCTCCCAAAATTTCAAATTTGATGTATCTGTGATCCGAGCAACTTGCCTCATCAGATACATGCCAGTTTGTGACGTAATTACTCATATGATTTGAGGCTAGTGTCACATCGATTACCTCCTTCCTAGTTGAATTAATAAAGGTAGGTTTATTTCCTACATTTACTATATCTAAATTGTTTGCTATAAAGACTTACCATTTGCATCACACTCGATGAGCAGCTGTGTCCCATTCGTCCTTTTTTTTTTTTTTATGGATATGCGCACTCGCAAGGAAATGTCCTATCACGCTCGAGAAGCGGCAAGTGCGCGGAAATGTCGGTGTATGTTGGTCTTGAAACGGTTCAGGTTGTAACCTGCAGGGAAAACCGTCGCAGGGAGTTTATTCCACAGCGATGCTGTTCTCCAGAGATATGAATTCTGATATAATGAGGTTCTTGGTACCTCTAGTTTGACAGTAAATTCATGGTTACCGTCTGTTTGACGGGTTCGCTTGGTAGGTGCTACTCTCGGTGGAATCATACGTGCCAACTCTTCAGAGCATTTTCCGTGATAGTACCTGTAGAAGAGAGATAAATCGCCCACAGATCTGCGATGTTCGAGACCATCCAAGCTACGAGTAAGTGCGGGGTCATTGATCAGCTTGATAGCTCGTTTTTGCACGGTGTTCAAAAGCATTAAGGTATGTTTGGGTGCTGCACTCCATATATGTGAGCAGTACTCCATAGTTGGTCGAATCTGGGCTTTGTAGAGTGTCAGCAATTGGCTTGGTGTGTACAGATGTCTTGTACGAAATAGCACCCCCAGCTTTTGGAACGCCCTTTTAGCAATATCTGCCACGTAACTGTGCCAAGACATGTTGGTCTCTGCAGTAACCCCCAAGATGTTCAACTGACTCTGTAATGTGACAGCACTTTCAGATAGCATGATGTTTGGCTCACCGGTGCTGGTCTTTTTTGAAAACCGAGCTGCTTGGGTTTTCTGCGCATTGAACTGTACAAGGTTTTTGTTACCCCAGTCCTCTATTATCTCCAGGTCGTTATTTATCTGCGATATTTGAGTTAGTCTAAGATGATGGAACACTACAGTGTCTCATCAGGTCCTCCACACTTCTGGTTGGTGTTGATTCAGGTTCATCGTAGGGTAATCCCCTACGCAAAAGTAAGACTGGAATACCTATAATCTACTGCATTATTTCAATCTGCATTACATTGTTGCACTGACAATGAAAAAATTAGTAGTAGGTATGTAAAGTTGAATAAAATCACTGATTGTTGAGTTTTGGTTTTAATAAAGTGGCATTAGTAGAACCAGTCAAGACGAGGAAACTACGAATCCACAATGCCTTTAAGAAACAAAAATCAATAATCAAGTATTGAAAATGTTCAAGCTTTTATAAGCAGTTCAAGTTCTACTACACATGCTGTCCATACAGTATTTTCAGTTGAATCTTATGTGATATTACAATCCAGAACCCAGAACCATTAGAAATAGCTAAAACTTTTCAATTTTTTTTCAAAGAAAACAACCAGATAGTGAAACGGTACAAAAAGATTTAACAACTCTTGAAAATTATCTCTATACAACATGCAATTTTGAAAACTATTTACAGACAACTTTGCGAAATCAGTGTGTTTTTTGTCTTCGTTTTCGAAAATAGGTACACTCAGAATCGATTATTAGAATATAGAAAACTAACTTTGGAAAGTTCTTTAGCCAAAAGCATATAGAAATAGAAATGTCTACAAGAGTTGCTGCTAAAATCACATCATTCCAAAAATTCGTCAGATTTGAACCAGTTGAATCAAAATATAAATAAAAGGAAGAATAACCCAAATTCTTCTGGTTTTTCTAAGCCAAATTATTAATAATGAGAAAACTTGTATGTTTTAGATACGGTTCAGATCATCATTTAACAAATCAATGTGATAAAGAGGTAGAAGGATTATGAATGTACACATTGCTCATTTTAGTTCTGTGTTGATGATATTGTAAAAAACTGCAGTAAGATTTAGACATGTTGTCATCACCATTACTTTTGTCGATGTATTATAAAATATACAATTATTCTGCTACTGTGTATGTATTTTGTATTCTAAAATTAATACTGTTGAATAAAAAATGCTCACCAAGTTAATGAATTTGATTTGAATGAAACCATAGCAAGTACCTTTGACGCAGGTACTGACTGGGTCATTGACCAATGTATAGGAAGTTTGCCAATTGCTTTGATTTTGCATTTATATCATATTAAAATTTTCCTGTGACCTACACAGGCGATGATTCGCTGATTCTGCCAAAAAAAAAACAATATCGTAGGTACATTGAATAATTAACGTAAATTTGAAAAATTCACTTTCATTTGAAACTATGTAATAAAGTCAATGAAAAAATGTTGTTATTTGTTCGTTTTTAACTGCATTTATATGCTTATTATGGAATACAATACACCGTGATTGACGTAGGTAGAAAAATCTAATCCACCTGCATCAAGCTGATGCACGGGCTACGTAAATCACCCTGTATACGACGTCATCGACACAATACTTAACATTATGTTTAACTAATAATGCCATTCAATTTTTTTGAATAAATATTAAATATTTTGATGAAAATGAGGTTTTGTTCGAATAAATAAATCAACTTGTAGGTAGTTTTTTTCATGTTCCAAAATTTAGGTAAATGAGGCAAAGATTATTATTTATTTGATGAATTAATTTTTTGTAAGTAAATAACGTTATTGAACAAATTCCGTATGACAGCCTATTTGGAAATCAAGCATCACCTATCTTTCAATGCTTTATTGACGTTCGATGATTTCCATGTTATTCAATCTTCAACTCCAGGATATGACCTAATTTTTGGAGAAGTAATAAAACAACTCCCCAAGTAAGCTATTGTAGAACTATACAACCTTTTTAATACCTACCTAAACTTTGGAAACTTGTAGAAGTTATCATAATACCAAAACCCGAAAAACCACCTTAAGATGTGTTTTTTTTTTTGTGTATTTTTTTATCTATAAGCTCTATAAAAGATACTGCTAAAGCGAATAAAACCAATCATAGATACAGGAAGAGTTTGAATAAAAATAAAAGCAGGTGTATCTCAGGGTAGCATGCTAGGGCCCCTAGTTATATTTATTATTTACGTGCGACATCCCAAAACAAGAAAATTGTCATTTAGCAACATTCGAGTGGAAAAAAGTATTGAACAATCAACAGAAAAACTACAGAACACTGTAACTTAAGCTCAAAATTCGACCAAAAAATGACGAATGAAATTAAATGGAACCAAATAAATTCACGTTGATTTTACAAACAAAAAGGTAAATCACAATTAATAACAGTCCCATACCATATTCAAATTAGGCAAAATATCTTGATATGACGGTTGATGCGAAATATGAAAAAAAAAAAAAAAAATGGAAGAGAGTATAGAAAAATGTAGTTGTTAATTGGAAGGGTATCCGATTTAACCAT